ACGTATTATACCTGTTCCTGGCTTCTGTAGTACGTATTATACCTGCTACTGATCAAGTCAGTGAGTAAATTAACATGTAACATGATATATCATATTATCACAATTTGAATTCTCACAAGTAGATTGATTCTTGCACACCATCGTATACGTATATGCCATTTAAACTAACAGCATTTTTGTTGTGGCCAAATCATTAAGTATTGTGAAACCACTAATTTTCGTGAATCGTTTTTGTTTCGTTGATATCGTTGGTAAGCTTCATCCACGAATTCAAAGGAACACGATGCAAAGTTTGACATAAAGCCATTCTCGGTATGAGTAGGTACTCGTAATCAACGACTTAATGCATCCAGGAAAGATATAAACCTTTTACAGTCTTTTCGGGAAAAACTAATTTCGTAGTACGTTAACGTTATCGTCTTTACCTTTGTTGATATAAAATAACATTTCCAGAGTATCGTTAAAAATGTGTTTCATGTTTACATAAATGTTAAAAAGGATCTAATTTGATGAAATAAACAGCACACATTACAGTAAAAGCAACGAAATACCGGAATTTGTCAAAAGTTTAATTCATGCATGTTTCAACACAGGTCCGTCTCCATCAGTAGCACATATGATCTCAACGATCCCAACGATCCCAGTGTCAGGCAGCAGGCCAACTCCCTCAACACCGGTCTCGCATGCTACACAAGCGACGCCTGTCTCCTCCAGAACTTCTTCAGCACCAACGACACAGAAATCTACTCTAGAGCCATCTCACTCACCTAGCACAGCTGGACCTGCTACTTCCTCACCAAGTATTTATTTATTTTATTTCTTTTTCTTGCCTCAATAAAACCAAATCTAATGATTGGTTTCTTTGCCTGAATTGCTAACGTGATCTTTCTGTTCAGTCCAACGTTAGGGTTACGTTTTTAGTGTACACAATGATTAAAACTCAATATATACTTGGTATTGCTCTTTAGAATCCTCAAAGAGATCACGTAAAAATGGAAAGTCTTCATCACTTCAAGGTCAGGCATAACAATGTAGTTACAGCGTATATATTAAGGACGTCTCATCCGATTAAATCATACATGGAGCTAATATTCTCGGGGGAAATTGACTTGTATCTTTAGATGCTTCCAGAGTATCTGCAAAACACTGCATTGTGGTGTGACATAAAATAGAAATAATTCACTCGAACAAGCAAGAGTTTGCGTGTGCGGTAATTTTGATACTGTTTAGTTTAGTATAATGAAGTCGGTTGTCATTTGTTCCGGCTCTGATGATGGATGGTCTTGTTACAGACATAACCTTACCCTCAGCAGAAAACTGCACAGACAGAGGTGTAGAGAGTGCCTGTGATTATCTTAACAAAACTTCCCAGCTGTGTGATACCATAACCATAACGTCGGTATACTACTGTGTCAAGTTCTGCGGCTTCTGTAGTACGTATTATATCTGTTACTGGCTTCTGTAGTACGTATCATAGCTGTTACTGGCTTCTGTAGTACGTATTATACCTGTAACTGGCGTCTGTAGTACGTATTATACCTGTTACTGGCGTCTGTAGTACGTATTATACCTGTTACTGGCTTCTGTCGTACGTATTATTCCTGCTACTGGCCTCTGTAGTACGTATTATACCTGTTACTGGCTTCTGTAGTACGTATCATAGCTGTAACTGGCTTCTGTAGTACGTATCATACCTGTAACTGGCTTCTGTAGTACTATCATACCTGTTACTGGCTTTTGAAGTGCGTATCATACCTGTTACTGGCTTCTGTAGTACGTATCAAAGCTGTAAATGGCTTCTGAAGTGCGTATCATACCTGTTACTGGCTTCTCTAGTAGGTATTATAGCTGTAACTGGCTTCTGAAGTGCGTATCATACCTGTTACTGGCTTCTGTAGTACGTATCATAGCTGTTACTGGCTTCTGTAGTACGTATTATTCCTGTTACTGGCTTCTGTAGTACGTATCATACATGTTACTGGCTTCTCTAGTACGTATTATACCTGTAACTGGCTTCTGTAGTACGTATCATACCTGTTACTGGCTTCTGTAGTACGTATTATGCCTGTAACTGGCTTCTGTAGTACGTATTATACCTGTAACTGGCTTCTGTAGTATGTATCATACCTGTAACTGGCGTCTGTAGTACGTATTATACCTGTAACTGGCTTCTGTAGTACGTATCATACCTGTTACTGGCTTCTGTAGTACGTATTATACCTGTTACTGGCTTCTGTAGTACGTATCATAGCTGTAACTGGCTTCTGTAGTACGTATTATACCTGTTCCTGGCTTCTGTAGTACGTATCATAGCTGTAACTGGCTTCTGTAGTACGTATTATACCTGTTACTGGCTTCTGTAGTACGTATCATAGCTGTAACTGGCTTCTGTAGTACGTATTATACCTGTTCCTGGCTTCTGTAGTACGTATCATAGCTGTAACTGGCTTCTGTAGTACGTATTATACCTGTTACTGGCTTCTGTAGTACGTATCATAGCTGTAACTGGCTTCTGTAGTACGTATTATACCTGTTCCTGGCTTCTGTAGTACGTATCATAGCTGTAACTGGCTTCTGTAGTACGTATTATACCTGTTACTGGCTTCTGTAGTACGTATCATAGCTGTAACTGGCTTCTGTAGTACGTATTATACCTGTTCCTGGCTTCTGTAGTACGTATCATAGCTGTAACTGGCTTCTGTAGTACGTATTATACCTGTTACTGGCTTCTGTAGTACGTATCATAGCTGTAACTGGCTTCTGTAGTACGTATTATACCTGTTCCTGGCTTCTGTAGTACGTATCATAGCTGTAACTGGCTTCTGTAGTACGTATTATACCTGTTACTGGCTTCTGTAGTACGTATCATAGCTGTAACTGGCTTCTGTAGTACGTATTATACCTGTTCCTGGCTTCTGTAGTACGTATCATAGCTGTAACTGGCTTCTGTAGTACGTATTATACCTGTTACTGGCTTCTGTAGTACGTATCATAGCTGTAACTGGCTTCTGTAGTACGTATTATACCTGTTCCTGGCTTCTGTAGTACGTATCATAGCTGTAACTGGCTTCTGTAGTACGTATTATACCTGTTACTGGCTTCTGTAGTACTATTACACCTGTTACTGGCTTCTGTAGTACGTATCATAGCTGTTACTAGCCTTTGTAGTACGTATTACACCTGTTACTGGCTTCTGTAGTACTATTACACCTGTTACTGGCTTCTGTAGTACGTATTATACCTGTTACTGGCGTCTGTAGTACTATTACACCTGTTACTGGCTTCTGTAGTACGTATTATACCTGTAACTGGCTTCTGTAGTACGTATCATACCTGTTACTGGCTTCTGTAGTACGTATCATAACTGTTACTGGCTTCTGTAGTACGTATCATAGCTGTTACTGGCTTCTGTAGTACGTATCATAGCTGTTACTAGCCTTTGTAGTACGTATTACACCTGTTACTGGCTTCTGGAGTACTATTACACCTGTTACTGGCTTCTGTAGTACGTATTATACCTGTTACTGGCTTCTGTAGTACGTATCATAACTGTTACTGGCTTCTGTAGTACGTATCATAGCTGTAACTGGCTTGTGTAGTACGTATCATAGCTGTTACTGGCTTCTGTAGTACGTATCATAGCTGTTACTAGCCTTTGTAGTACGTATTACACCTGTTACTGGCTTCTGGAGTACTATTACACCTGTTACTGGCTTCTGTAGTACGTATTATTCCTGTTCCTGGCTTCTGTAGTACGTATTATACCTGTTACTGACTTCTGTAGTACTATCATACCTGTTACTGGCTTTTGTAGTACGTATCATACCTGTTACTGGCTTCTGTAGTACGTATCATAACTGTTACTGGCTTCTGTAGTACGTATCATAGCTGTTACTGGCTTCTGTAGTACGTATCATAGCTGTTACTGGCTTCTGTAGTACGTATCATAGCTGTAACTGGCTTGTGTAGTACGTATCATAGCTGTTACTGGCTTCTGTAGTACGTATCATAGCTGTAACTGGCTTGTGTAGTACGTATCATAGCTGTTACTGGCTTCTGTAGTACGTATCATAGCTGTTACTGGCTTCTGTAGTACGTATTATACCTGTAACTGGCTTCTGTAGTACGTATTGTACCTGTTACTGGCTTCTGTAGTACGTATTATTCCTGTTACTGGCTTCTGTAGTACGTATTATACCTGTTACTGGTCAGTGTTTAATGTAATATGTAACATACTACATCATCGTCAAAATTTTCACGATTGGAACTCTCACAAATAAATGGATAATTTCACACAATTCTAACAAGTGTTAACGATAATATCGTTTTCATGACCATATTTAAACTTGTGGTTATATATCATCGTTTCGGTTTATATTGTCGTTGAATATGTACCTCCCTGATTTAGAATATTTGAAAGGAAATATATTACATAAGTTAGTAAATGTAAAAAAAAATGCACTTAAATTCTTTTCCAAAATAACACATTTAAGGCAATGAATTGCAGATATTCGCGCAAAGAAATGGAATGTCAATTCTACGGCATAAAATGATTTCAGAAAAAAACAAAGGAACGACATAGGCAAGGCTTTTGAGAACCGAGATCACCTACTTTGCTACTTGTTTTTCAGCTCCGTTACCTACCCTTTCTGTACGACAAAGTCAGACAACTACAACAGCAGGAACTGTAACCACGCCAGTTTCTCGTAAGAACTATGACATCTGCATCGCACTACAAGTCCTAAATATTAACACATATATTAAATGTTTTATGTTGTTGTTTTATGTTTATAGATAGATAATTAACGAAATCTCTAACTTATTCACGTTCGTGTTTTTCAACAAGGGGAGAACATCCATGAAATGGACATATGCATATGAATGCACGTGTTATTCCCATATTCGAACAAGTATCTTATCCCCGACAAAAGTAAATATGTTCTAGCTTTGTTTATCGGAATTAGATATATATGTATTGCATTATTATTGTGGCTCATTAATTAAAATCATTTTAGAATTGTCGATGAATATGCAATGACGGACTATAGTTGTCGGCTTATAAGGAGACTTACGCAAGCTTCAGTATCTAGTGGTTCATTTTAGACTTGGAAAAACACATGCTTCAGGTGTTAAGAAACTCGTTAAATTGGACTATCAATACAATGGGTTGATCTGGAGACGTATTATCTTCCTACTCCAAACCTATTGATATGCCTTAAGCAGTAGTTGTAGTTTAATTTGCCCGCTCATTCGAATACTTGCTATCTCAGTTTAATTTCCTACTGTCTCCCCTTTATATGGCGGGGAAATGGCTATTGAATGATCCAGCCTTCTAATTCCTGTGTTATCGGTTCCTTCCTTGCATACTGGATTGATCACCACTGTACCAGAGCATTTCTTGGTTTTTTTACTTGTAATACATAATATTTTATTTATTTTTACTACATAAACAAGATCAAGGAAAAAAGTGAATTCAAGGAAAAAAGTGAATTTCTGTTCAATATTTTTTTGAAAAATATCTGTTTTTATTTTGACGTAATCTGTATTGTGACATCAATGTAAATGTTTTTCATTGGTGTAATGAATATTCTTACTTCATGATGTTTCGCAGTGAACCTATGGTCAAAATACAGACAGGCACTATCAACATTCGTAAGGGAACACACATTATTAATCGACAGAGCAACTCCAAATTTAACGTTTGATAAATAAATTCACATAGTTTCCCCCAAATATAGAAGTTGCGTTTTCAACGTTAAAGTAATTTTAAGCTATACCAGCGTCGATATAACATTGCCATGTCTATATGACATGTCAGCGACTTTCAAGCCTCTGAGCAGAGTTACTGCTCCTGGAACGGTTGATTGAATACTGTAATTTATAACCTACTTGTATCATAGTATTCGATGTAAAGTCAATGTTATATAGCTTTTTAACAGTTGTCACTCATTTCAAAGAAATATATTATATTAAATGCATTTCGGATTTTTTTTTAAAGATACTAATTGATGTAGAAGTTTACCCTGTTACGAACACATGTAGGTTTAGTCGATTCATTATACGTTACATAATTCATCCAATGTCTCTCCAGATTCTGCTTGTGCCTGCGTTGCAATCTAAGCCTGCATTGAAGACATCTCGCACTAGAACACTAGCTTATCATAGTTGTATCGCTTCAAACGTGATGACTATAAAGATAGTTCTGTGGACAATACATGTTACTGTTGTGTTTTGACAATTTGTAGAAGCGACCGTTTCCACGCGTTTACCACAGAACGTCCCAGTACTTGTAGGTAAGTACCTACCGATATAAAAAGCTAATACTTATCCATTGGGATTTCCATACGTTTCCACACTTGTTATGAGAACTTGTTTGAGACACTCTGTACTTGTTTTTCCAATTCATCAATTGTATTCTTTCTTGCAGGAAAACGGCTTGACGACGATTCTGTAAGTACACTAGCTAGTTGAACTACTAACCACAGAAAAGTATGACCATTAAGCTAAAAATAACAAGTGCTGTGAAAAATACCAAAATTTGAAACGACTTATATATATATAGAATGTATCTGATTAAAGCTTTTCCGTTGGTGTTGGTTGAAGCTAGACAGGAACAATTCTAACACTGCGTTAAACGAATAACCCATCCATGAATATATTGTAATCAACTTATATAGCACTGGACATGGAAAAAGACAGTAGTAAAAGTTTATCAAATTTATTTTATATCTTTTACTAACCCTGCTTGGAAAATGAATACAAAATGTTTCAATCTACTACATTGAAAATAATCTCGGTCGTCACTGGTCAGAAACCCTCTATACGTATGTCTGTATGCTTGCAGGTTGCTGACACTGACCAACGAGGACGGCATCCTATTTCCTGACGTTTACGTTTTCAATTCGTGATACTATGTCACAATTTTAATGACTGCAAATAAATTGCTTTAATCGAAATGATATTACTTTGGACTTGTTTTATTTGTTCGAGTAAAATTGACAAAAATATTTTCTTAATTTTCTTTTCTTTTTTTCGTTGTAAGATATTGTTAGATGTTGCAAGATGTTGTAAGATGCCGATTAGAAATATTGGAGTCTTGTTCCACAATTTTATAACGATGTTTCTGGAGCCTTGAATGACTGTTTGATATTGGTGACACTTGAGTCGTGTGTGGTAGGTTATATTGGTGAAACTGGAGTCTTGTGTGACAGTTTTATATTAATGAAACTTGAGATCTGTGTGATGATTTTATATCGGTGAAACTGGAGTCTTGTGTGGCAGTTTTGTATTAGTGAAACTGGATTCTTGTGTGGCAGTTTTGTATTGGTGAAACTGGAGTCTTGTGTGGTAAGTTATATTGGTGAAACTGGAGTCGTGTGTGGCAGTTTTGTATTGTTGAAACTGGAGTCTTGTGTGGTAAGTTATATTGGTGAAACTGGAGTCGTGTGTGGCAGTTTTGTATTAGTGAAACTGGATTCTTGTGTGGCAGTTTTGTATTGGTGAAACTGGATTCTTGTGTGGCAGTTTTGTATTGATGAAACTGGAGTCTTGTGTGGTAAGTTATATTGGTGAAACTGGAATCTTGTGTGGTAAGTTATATTTGTGAAACTGGAGTCTTGTGTGGCAAGTTATATTGGTGAAACTGGAATCTTGTGTGGTAAGTTATATTGGTGAAACTGGAATCTTGTGTGGTAAGTTATATTTGTGAAACTGGAGTGTTGTGTGGTAAGTAATATTGGTGAAACTGGAGTCTTGTGTGGTAAGTTATATTGGTGAAACTGGAGTCTTGTGTGGTAAGTTATATTGGTGAAACTGGAGTCTTGTGTGGTAAGTTATATTGGTGAAACTGGAGTCTTGTGTGGTAAGTTATATTGGTGAAACTGGAGTCTTGTGTGGCAGTTTTATATTGGTGAAACTGGAGTCTTGTTTCACAATTTTATATCGATGTTTCTGGAGCCTTGAATGACAGTTTGATATTAAAGAAACTGGAGTCTTGCGTAGCAGTTTTGTATTGGTGAAACCGAAGTCACGTGTACATGTAATAATGTTACAGTATTTTATATCTGTAAAACTTTCAGGCTAGCTGTCAAACGGCAGTTATTTAATTGTTCATATCTATTAGCAAACTTATCACTGCAAGATGTTGAAAAAAAGAAGTGATTATTTTTCACTACCATTTTTACTGGCATAAGTCACTTTATACTAGTAATTGAATGCAGATTGTGAATAACTCAAAATATTTGTTTATCAGTCAAGAACATTCAGTCCTCTTCTACTCTATTAGATACTGTGTAAATTAACTTCTAATCGATTGCTAATGCGAGTCCACACTTTACTTACTTTATCTTCTTTTCTCTCGAACGAACCTGATTAAATTACATAAACTGTAACGAGCATGTCAGCACTATAGTTTTTACAAATACTAATGAATGAGTAGTCTTTTAATGCACGTTTGCCGTCATTTTAAGGTCACCTGAGACAAATTCTCAAGTGACCTATTGCGATCGCCTTTTGTCCGACGTCGTCCGTCGTGCGTTCGTAAACAATTTACCCCTAAACCAATTTCAATGAAATTTTGCAGAAACCTTCCATGCTTCAACCCTATTTATGAATGTGGACCCATGCATGTGCTGTCAATCAATTCTAAAATCACCGGGTGATTCACACCGGGCCTACTCCATTACAAGGCATAGGATCGATTTAATACCCGGCCGGGGCAGAGTAGGCCGGGTATTAATAGTAGTATTAGTCTATACTGTGTTATGTATATAACAAGGCACTCAAACTCACCCGCCCACTCAAGCGTGACCACCCGATCACCTGTCAGTATTTGTTTACATGTCGCTAGGCAGATTTCACAATGTAAACACCACTGGTGCTCTCGTGGAACTAATTCCTATAAATACACACTTGTTAAGGAACCGGAAGTTATGTTTGCAGAGTTCATAATGTCGCAATTAATGTACGATATTTTCAACTCCAAGTTGACCTGAAAGTTCTGTGAGCATTGACAGTGATTATCGCCAGGTAAGTTATCTCATTTGGTTTACGCTCTTAAAATAACCATGGGATTTGATATATTTACTATGGAGCCATATTTATGTTCTCGTACAATCTAAGTCCGTGGTTGTACTATGCTACTTATATAAAAGTACATGTGTAATGCTCAACACGTTTGATTTAATTGTGTGTATTCCAGTATAACAAGACAAATATAGGATATTTCAAAGGTATCGCATGTACGTAGAGTAAATATAAAAAGGAATAGCTTAATCGCGATCATTATGGAAAATGGGGAGTATCATTTGAAGAAGCAGAATTGAAAAAGAAGACGGTTGCAACAAAGAGGTCGTGTAATTACTATATGGCAACGTCTACGAACTAGATTAACAATACAATCTTACCATATAGGTACACTTATATCAATCAAAATGTCAATGTTTTAGCTATACAATGTACAGGAATGTATATTGATTTGGCAAATCAGTCCAGTGATATTGTGAGAATGAGTCACTGTATATACATGTATGTATATATGATATCCTGTACTACACACAGGGACTTGACACGTTTCCTATGACCCAGAATGAAAAAAGAATACCCCATGGTCGGACCCCCAGATCACTTATTATTAGTTAATAATAAGTGATCTGGGGGTCGGACCATGAGGTATTCTTTTCTCGTTCTGGGTCATAGAACGTGTCAAATCCCTGTGGTACTACACAATACATGTTCCATTGTGTCGAAGGTTAAAGATGGCATGCACACTGACAAAACTGTATCTCAAATATAAATAATACAATTTCAAATATTATACGTGATTTTTAAGTCGAGTAAATGGCCGTTCACATTACACAGTGAATGCCAACCTCTTCAGTATTTAACTACAGGTTCTAAAATGACCTAATAGAAAGTTGTGTCATAGATGGTTTTTATTTTTGGACAATATAGTCATGGAGGAAAAGTTGGGGCCGCCCGCGACCGCTGACACGGTGGCAGCTACATGCCCTCCTCCCTCGTACGAGGAGGTGATGGGCCATCAAACCGTAGGATCTGCCAAAACCACAACAGCAGCGGATTTACCTCCCTTGTCTTATATAGACATAATGCCCAGGCTCATTGACCGTGGTAACATGGACAGAAAAGTTACTCCTCAGTTTGATAAATTCAGGTACAATTTTTACTTTTGAAATGTTTTGCGTGTTAACACGTAATTATAGCGTTATTCAAGCTGTATACAAATAAATGAAATATTGCATATTTTAGTTCTTAAAAACATGCTTTGTTACTGATCGATGTATACTTTTGTCATATTGCAGTCGTATTACTATAATAGTACCTTTTTATATTCTGAACAGCCATAATGAATTGAGAAACGTTGGAATCATAATTTCGGTACTGTCATCGATGAAATCGTTGAAGACGATAATAGCACGTGAATAGCAATCCGTAAAAGATAACAACATACGTTAATATTACAATGTATATTAATACTACAATGTATATTAATACTACAATGTTGTGATGTTAATATTGTATACAATGTATATTAATACTGCAATGTATATTAATACTATAATGTATATTAATACTACAATATATATCAATACTACAATGTATATTAATACTACAATATATATTAATACTACAATATATATTAATGCTACAATGTATATTAACTATATAGTTTAAGTCAATGCTGATCAGCGATGTAATGATACTAACGATTCAGAAGTTCGAGTTGTTACTCTCAAGGACTTTTGGTTCCTACAGTGTGGTCGTTCAAGCTGCAAACATGTGGCTTGTTGGAAACCCTTTGTACGCAGTGTGGAAATGTGAAACAGTGGAGCGGAAAGTGGACAAGGGAACGGTCATCGTGATGGAGAATATGGTATACCACGAGGCCACCTTCGGCTTCAACGTGTACATACGGGGGCTAAGGTAGGGAGTCATTTCGACCACCTATACATACGGGGTCTTAGTTCATAATTAATTATTGCGTAAACTTATTAGCATACGTTTACATGCAGTGACGTGAGTAAGAAATCAGAATTACGAAGTAGCATCTAATAGGGGTGGGCAATAATATCGCAGAACCTATATATAGCAATACTTGTCCAGTCATATGCATATTGCAATATGATTCTGAAGTGACGATATACTGTAATAGGATTTCAATTAATTACTTGGGGGTTTAAATAAAGCATTAGGATTGAATCGATTTCATCCAAATGCTATGATATCTTCCAAAACTATATAATTATATACTTCTGTGTACTTCTTTTCCCCCTTTTCCGAGCAAGCTTTGTCGGTGGGGGCTGCCCAATCACTGGCTTGCTCGGACCTCTCTCTCGGACTCTCCTCGAACTAAATTCTCCTTCTCTTAACTAAGTGATTAATTATGAATTATTATGTAATATATATAGTCTGTCATTTGTGTTGCATAAACCCAACTTCGTGACAAAATCTTCAATTAGTTGAAGGTGGTCACTAATGGTAGAACTAGAACTGGTAGAAGTATTTTTCCTGTTTTCATTGCTGACCTGGTGTTCACTTTTGGTATTTTTTACCGGTGTAGAAAATCATTAAAGATGTACTAAATGTCTAGGTGTACAATGTATTGTGAGACATTGCAATGTTAGCTAAGTTCAATATTGCAATATACCCACCCTATCATCTACACATGTGTACATGACAATCTATATTCTAGACACAAGCTCATACGGGGCTTAGGTAAGGAGTAATAACGACTTACCACCTGCATCCTGCTATAACTGTTGAAATGTAAAAGCTCTACACTTCCTGGAGGCAAAGCAACTTGGATGGTCACATATGATGGAACGTCTGGCGTGGTTTGTGCTCATCAACTCGACATACTGCTAGTTTGTAATAGACATTCATATAAGTTTAACATTTAAATACTTGATCTGATGTACACATTAATTGGTCCTGTCGTAGGTTGTGGCTAACGAAGAAGATCGACCCAAATGAGCCCGTACAACAGTTAGGCCTATTAAATGTGGTGCCTCAGAAAGTAGCGGTCGTCCCAACGCATCACATGGCATGTGGACCCCAAATCGACATGGGAAATGGAATTCGAGTGAACCTTAACAGGCGCACGAGATGTACAGGTTATGCTACTATCAACGATCCTGAAATCCTGAATAAAATGGTTGTTCCGTCCATGAATGTGTCTTTTGAAGGCCTGCAAACTACTCTCAAAAAGCTGAACGAGGACCTGAAATCCCGCCCATTACAAGGTGACGTATCTGATATTAGTTTACTTACCCAATCGCCTACGGACAATATATTGAGTCGTGTTACCCTTCTGAACTTGTTTTACGGGAGTGTCATTATAGCACGTTTAAGAACATGCCATGCAGTTGAACAAATTCTAGACTCGGTGTGGTCGTTTAATAGGCAGTTGCACATGTGTTAAAGCGAAAGGCAATTGAACATTTGCTATCATCGTTAATAGACTAAATATGCATCACTATTATATGAAGATAACAAAGAGAAATATACAACTTGAAGGCACTATATTGAACGTGGAGACGACGACTATGAAGACGTTTGAAGGTTTCGGTGGCAGCGGGGACATGGATCCCGACCAGACTTGCTGGCATGAGGACGGAAACAAGTTCAAACGCTTCACCCAGATCATCCGGGTCTTCTACGTCATAGGACCCCCAGCCAATGAACAAATCAGTGAGTCAATTAGACGATTATAGTTTATATCGATAAATCTTGAGAACAAGCATATAATACACGTTGTGTCGGCATATTTATTTTGCTTATATTGGAAAAAAAAATCGAAAAGCAAAAGCGATGCATAACAAAGTGATTTCGCCAACAGTGTTGGTCGTCTCTGCTCTTTTGCCATTTTGGAATCGATACCAGTTAATGCTTTGTCATCGATCTTTTTGTTTACAGTGATAGAGGATTTCATACCGCAAGTGACACAGCGAGGGGATATCATGAAAGCTTGTCACTTTGAGACGTGGACGCAGGTTATGACACGTGTCAGCACGTGGATACCTAACCAGACGGTACGTTTTATACGAGGGGGGAGTTACTGGTACCAACGTTTATTAGAGAAGATAATTATGATAAAGTGTTTACCATTAGGGTAAAATAATGGTTTAATGTATAAGAATTATGAATTACTGATTATATGTATAACAGTTGGTAAATTTACTAATTGTAAAATGCTCAACAATAGAGAGAGTAAATGGTTAGATTGAGATAGCAAGATTTCACTGTAGGCAGCATCGTATACAGTCGATTAGATTGTTTAATTAATATAAGTTAACGAGCGTGGAAAATATCAAAATTAATTGTGATAATAGAGTTCAGGATTACTTAACTACGTCATCGCCATTCTAACATCTCAATACATGAACCCTCATTTTGCGACGCCTCCTCGACTTTGATGGTAGTCTCAGAATCCATAAGAAATGCATCCAAAGTCTTTCAAATCCAGCGCATGGAACACAATCCAATTATTCCGTCGTATGCAGGGTTTTTTTTGCAGAAAGATAAAAACAGTCCGTTACTCTGTTTTCTTCAGAAACAGTTACAAAGCTAATATGTGTATCATACTTGTTGGTAATTACGTCCACAGCAGATATGGAAAACTTGCCTGTGTGTCAAATTATGTTCGACTTGTCTGGTGTCCCATGCTCATGACCTTCTTGGACCCCGACATAGTCTCCATACTAGATTCGTAAAAGATTTCGTTTCGTCTGTGTAGTCATAGTGCTATCACTTCGAGCTTCACGCGACAAGAGATGTTTGTTTTCAGAAACAAGGCTGCTACAGAATTCCGTCTGATTTCTTGTTTAACATGTTTGGGGGCAGTTATGTAGCTGTCTGCTTTCCGATTTTGGAGGATGTAAAAGGAAATTAGCCTTTTTAGTCCCATCTATATTAATACCACCATCGATGTGCGTGATGACTCTTTATCCCTGAAACTTTTTACAAAGAATGCAGAGTAATCTAAAAAAAATAAAGGTTGTTTTGCAAATTTCTTGCACAATTACTTCATCATTAGCAGCACCAAATGTGTTTTTTATAACTTATAAGGATTAGCAACCGTCAAATTAACATTTTCATTTTTACTAATATTTAATGTTACATATTCCAGGGAGTTCGAATCGTAAATCTCCAAACTCAGTATACGAAATACAGTGAATACAATGGTAAGTATAAGTAATATGTGCCTCATTTCACTGACATTACATACTTATGTGAAATACTTGGCTAGGTTACGGGGCACATTTCATTCTATTGTTCTATTGTTTAATTGGGGGGGGGGGGGGGGGGGGGGGGGGGGGGGGGACTTATAATGAGAAAGTAAAGACATTAAAAAATGTACAAAGCTAAATTGAAAAATTGAAAAGGTCTTGCTTATTATTTAAATGTTTATTCTATATTTTCATGTGTGCGTTTGCAAAGATTTTATCTTAAAATTATATAGAGATATTATGATTGTAAACTGTGTCACGGCCGTTGCACTGATGATAAACATATTAGCATTTCCTATCACAGGATTCATTGCTTATAACAATTAAATTGACATTTCAAGACATTAATGCGGTATGCTTTTATTCATATATTTGTCTCAAGTACAATTTGTTTTCCGACTGTAGGTGAAGTAAGGGTGGCCTCAGACTCCACAGATGATTATGTGACTAACTTGGCTGACCGGAAACTGATGAAAATAATGCGCGTGTTTTTCGTAACACGGCCTGGTCCCGGTCCACCTCAAATCGGTCACCTAAGCTGCCGTACATTTTTACCTGTACGAAAATCACGCGCAGACTTCGAGTCCATGAGCGAAACTATGTTCCGAATTACAGCGTGGCTAAAGGTGACAGGTACGTTTTTGTGGTTGTAGAGGGAAACAAAATGGTATTATTAATTCTGGTAAGGCATTGTATCTATATACTTTAAACGAAAATTTTCGCTGCAGTTCATTTCTGCCTTTAAAGCACCCGTAACGAGACGAATTTATCATTACATCGAATATAGCCTAGACAACATAATATACATGAAGGGCGAAATTTATACTGGGCGAAAATTGAATTGATGGAAGAAGGGCAAAATTTATACTGGGCGAAAATTGAATTGATGGAATAAGGGCAAAATGTTTACTGGGCAAAAATTGAATTGATGGAAGAAGGGCAAAATTTATACTGGGCGAAAATTGAACTTATTGAAGAAGGGCGAAATTTTTACTGGGCAAAAATTTGAATTTATTGAAGAAGGGTGAAATTTATACTGGCCGAAAATGTTCTGGTATAAAGTAAATAATTTGAAACGAAAAATGTTTATTCTGCAAATTGTACTGATGGCCAGTATATATACAATCTGATAAATCATATCCTACGTTCTCTACGTATCAGAGAACGTAGGATATGATTTTAATCAGATTGGTATATATAGGAATTCTATGCTGTGGTAGAGTCAGTCAATTAACCTATACGGGATAGTCTCCCTTCTATTACTTATCGTAGCCTTGTTTTCACGTAATTTTAAATAAAACTATGTGATTTCAGGAATGCAAATATTCAGCGTGGAGACGCATCAATTTCTCTTTAAAGAGAACAGGGCTTCTGGTGTTGAACAGGATAAGTGTAACATTATCAATCAGGGAATGTCTGGCAAGAAATACATCACGGCCGTATCGTAAGTAAAACTACATGTCATCATAGCCATATCGTAAGTAAAACTACATGTCATCATAGCAATATCGTAAGTAAACTACATGTCATCATAGCAATATCGTAAGTGAAACTACATGCCAATTTAGCCATATAATAAGTAAACTACATGTCATCATAGCCATATCGTAAGTAAAACTACATGTCATCATAGCAATATCGTAAGTAAAACTACATGTCATCATAGCAATATCGTAAGTAAAACTACATGTCATCATAGCAATATCGTAAGTAAACTACATGTCATCATAGCCATATCGTAAGTAAAACTACATTTCATCATAGCCATATAATAAGTAAACTACATGTCATCATAGCCATATCGTAAGTAAAACTACATGTTCATTTAGCCATATAATAAGTAAACTACATGTCATCATAGCCAGATCGTAAGTAAAACTAAATGTCAACATAGCCATGTCATACGTACAACTACATGACATCATAGCCATATCGTAAGTAAAACTACATTTAATCATAGCCATATAATAAGTAAACTACATGCCATCATAGCCATATCGTAAGTAAAACAACATGTTCATTTAGCCATATAATAAGTAAACTACATGTCATCATAGCAATATCGTAAGTAAACTACATGTCATCATAGCCATGCCATAAGTAAACTACATGTCATCATAGCCATATCGTAAGTAAAACTACATGTCAATTTAGCCATATCATAAGTAAACTACATGTCATCATAGACATATCGTACGTAAACTACATGTCGTCATAGCAATATCGTAAGTAAACTACATGTCATCATAACCATGTCATAAGTAAAACTACATGTCATCATAGCCATATCGTAAGTAAACTACATGTCATCATAGCCATGTCATAAGTAAAACTACATGTCATCATAGCCATGTCATGAGTAAACTACATGTCATCATAGCCATGTCATAAGTAAAACTACATGTCATCATAGCCATATCGTAAGTAAACTACATGTCATCATAGCCATGTCATAAGTAAAACTACATGTCATCATAGCCATGTCATGAGTAAACTACATGTCATCATAGCCATGTCATAAGTAAAACTACATGTCATCATAGCCATATCGTAAGTAAACTACATGTCATCATAGCCATGTCATAAGTAAAACTACATGTCATCATAGCCATATCGTAAGTAAAACTGCATGTCAATTTAGCCATATAATAAGTAAACTACATGTCATCATAGCCATATCGTAAGTAAAACTACATGTCAATTTAGCCATATAATAAGTAAACTACATGTCATCATAGCCATATCGTAAGTAAAACTGCATGTCAATTTAGCCATATAATAAGTAAACTACATGTCATCATAGCCATATCGTTAGTAAAACTACATGTCATCATAGCCGTGTCATACGTACAACTACATAACATCATAGCCATATCGTAAGTAAAACTACATGTCGTCATAGCANATTTAGCCATATAATAAGTAAACTACATGTCATCATAGCCATATCGTAAGTAAAACTACATGTCAATTTAGCCATATAATAAGTAAACTATATGTCATCATAGCCGTATCGTAAGTAAAACTACATGTCATCATAGCAATATCGTAAGTAAAACTGCATGTCATCATAGCCATGCCATAAGTTAACTACATGTCATCATAGCAATATCGTAAGTAAAACTACATGTCATCATAGCCATGCCATAAGTAAACTACATGTCATCATAGCCATATTGTAAGTAAAACTACATATCAGCATAGCCATATCGTAAGTAACCGAACTTTTGCCTTTGGTTACAGAGTTTACTTCGCCTACCCGTTTCAGGAGCCACATCCTGCTTACTTACCTCCTGTGTATACTATGTACGACCCAAATAACGCCCAGTCGTCCGCATCATGTGCCATTCTTTAGTGTAGGTGTACGGTCCAGACATGACACATGATTGCATACTGTGATAATCAACTCCAAGACATATCAAGTACAGGAACCGAGCCCAACATATTGTACTTGTCAATTATCGCGAATATATTTATGTACAGGAAACGGATCCACTGTGATGTCATGTTTTTTTACAGTTATGTTGGACTTGAGATAAATATTAGCCAAACACTTTGTTATGACGAGCATTGTAAAGTTGATGTTTTTAGTTGTAATTTTATTTACTTACTCAGTGTGTCCAGGTTTTACATGAAAATCATTACAAGTACTTTAAAGATGATAATAAACGGACATGTACCTATATATACTAAAGATATTTTGTGATATACTTTAATAAGCTAGTTTATGATGTGTTGTAATATCACGTTTTTTTCTCTCATATACTGAATTAAGACAAGTTTGTGATATGTTACAAAATATTCTTTACATGTTTGCGATATACTGTTATTATTTTTTCTGTCTATCATTGAATTTTTGTATAGTTCATACTATTTATTATAAACGTTGATCTTATTTATTTTGATAATAACCATGTACAAGCCTATTGTGATATTACAAACTGAAACTATTGTTATACTGTCAATTTTTTTTTTATACTTTATTTACTCACGCTGAGCATTATATCATCTTCAATGTCAATAAATCACCTTGGTGATGTATTAATTGACATGTGAAATAGCGAATTTGGACACAGTCCACCGTTTGCGGACTAATGATACCCTCGCACCAAAAAAAACCCATTAAATTTAATCGTTAAAATATGTTCGTTATGTTCAGAAATCTATACATGGGAACACTTAAGTTCGTGTTGACAACTGACTGCACCAACAAAGTCTGGTGCTAGATGCCAATATTTGATGACCCATTATCTGTATATTAAACGGTTTTATGTGATTACTATTAAATTGATTAACATGATACTTTACTGTGTTGATGCGTTATTTCATTCATAAAAATAGTGTTACCGGACATGAATTATCTCCATCTTGTGAAGGCCAAATTGTTGTAGTTGTAGATATGGTGACGTATTACTACTGTATTGGTTAGTTTATGTAAAAAATTACCTTTAAATTACTACCAAGGTAAGACCATGCTCACGTGCCTAGTACCTTAGTTTAAATACCTGGCTGCAGTATTATGCAGTAAATAAACTCTTGTCATGTTTTTACGTATTATATCATTTAAAATCTTTTATTACTCATTTCTAGTTGATTGATATTTGACAATGAATGCCAACTGAAATACTTTAATTATATTAACCATTTTTAAATATATATTAAATACAATAGAAATAATATTATTTCAGCAAAATTCAGCAATATTTAATTCCAGTGAGTGTATGTTTATAAGTAACTGGTGTCCATTAAATGACAGTATTGTCCTGTACCACGCATGTCAGCAGTAGCATTGCGTGTGTACCGTAACACCATTCGATTCAAATAACCGTGCCGCATTCAGTCGGGAAAATTGCGATAAAAATTGAATTCATAAAATCTCATTAATGTTTTAAGTATATATAGGTATGAAACAATTTGGGTCTCGGAGGTAGTGTTTACACACAGATCAGACGTAAGTTTTACAAAATAAAGTTGTCTTATCATAGATCTTTTACGTCACTTGGTTGGCTAATTGTCTTTAGTATTCACCTTTAAGTAGTAATAACATAGATAACCATCATAGCAGAAGGAGCATGCTACGTTTGACAAGAGATATCGTCATTTTAAAGAGGCCCAATTTAGTATTATATTTTGTACACGTTTCACACACTGTGTGTGGTATTAAATGAAAGTTAAGAACTGTTCTATGTAAGAAAAATAAGAAATGCAAGTTTTATCCAGCTTAGTGGGGAAAATAAGCGATGGTTTGCGGCAAGGTACCTTTAAACTGTCATTGCTACTTTACAATGAATGTCACCTGAATGCTGAAGGGTGGTATGATGGCGATGCCATACCATGATTAGTATTATCATATGTTAGTCTCATAAATGTGAAAGTAGGATTGTACATAACACTTAAACATGTCTTTGTATTATAAAAGCCACAAGACCACATAAATGATTACAGTTGAAATCTAAACAAAAACACGACGGCATAGAGCATGTTACCAACCCCTATGACAGCGTCTAGAAATAAAGAAAGTAATAAAATGTTATTCTCATTGGCATAAACAACGGTTATTGATATTATTGCACTGTTAACATATCTTTCGAAAAGCCACTTTGCAATGGATTGACGCGAAAGCAATTTGTTGTCTAAAATCTAATAAGTGACTTATGTTGTCCACTTTTATCTTCTTTTTGCAAATGATCGATTGGGGACAAAAATCTTCAGCGAGCACATAGCAGTGTCAATGACCGGAACAAGCCCCCAGATATCGTTAAAACGCGATCAACGTTGTCAAAGACCTCTGTGATTCGGATTATTTGAAATACAAGGTCCACTTAAGTGGGCGTTAAAACGTTCCATTATAAGTATTAGACCTGCGCATGCTAGCCTGAAATGTCAATGTAAAAACCATGTCACATCATAATTGATAAAGAGAGACAGAAAAATGAAGATAGTATCTTTAAACATTGAATTAGAGCCCCTGGACATCAATTTTGGTTTGAAAGCAGAGAGTTTAGGTGTCGAGTCGGTAACATAACCCAAACAACAAAGGGTCATGATAGGTGAAGTCAAGTGGCTAACAGAAATATAACGTTCCAGCCTGGTCATGTTTGGGGTTGATGTTCGCTGGGTCAAGGGTAAGCGTACATGCTATAGACCAACAACCATCACCACACTGAATGATCGTCGACCTCTACACCAGGAATATCTGTGTCACGGCATGAGTGGGTGTTTTGTTTCTACTTAAATATGTGTTAAAGATAACAACAAGTCTAGTGTAATGCATGAGCTGAATTGAAATATACATCAAAAATTGTGTGTTTAGTGAGATGATTTTTCCCGACATGATAACTATATAAACATATATGTTTATCCCTGAGCACGTTCAACTATAAAATGAATGATACAAACTCACATCTCCAACAGCAAGTGTTATGAAAGACAGAAATGCTCAGGGAAACAAGAATTGACATATTTAACCCATGTAAGTTTCGCTTAAATTTCGTCTTTTCGTACGATCGGTGTGTTATTTTCATGCAGCATTTGCTATTATTAATAATTCACATAGGATCAAATACGGTAGTGATCACAGTTCATGACCTAATAATCCCATTGAATATAAAACCGTACAAGGAGTCAGATGCACAAGTTATATATTTGTAGAATAATCGTGCGTGAAGCATTCCATCACAAAAGACGGTTCCATTTTATTGTGAAGTCATAATCGAGATGACCATAAAAACGATCGGCGGATTGAGAGTTTATAACAATACAGCGTATCGAAGATCGGACGAGGTCGGGTTATGGCTATTGTCCGTCTGTCCTTACATCCATTCATTTCCGGTCAATGATATTAATTTCCCTTATGTCAGTCAGACTGGAAGCATTCATACCCATGTCACTCGCTTGGGTTTCCTTTACCGGTCAATGGTCCTGGCTATCGGCATTTTAAATTAAAAAAACAGCGAAAACATGGAGTTACCTAAGGTTAACAAAACCGAAACCTTTGTACAGGTCAGACGTTTCCTTTCTTTGAATTGCTGGGTCACAGTTGGTGACCACAATCATCTTTTTTTCCGGCTGTCGCTCTCACATATATCTCAATCCAGGGATACTAGTCTACGTCATCATGCACCAGGCTTACATTGATATACTTGTGCCGCCATTTCTGGTCTCCTTGTGTCTATAACCAAGCTCCGATACCGCATCTCAATTTCACACATAACTTTGGCACGAACCTCAAACAAGGTACAATCTGTTCCGTCGTATTCAACATGTTAACCAAATGAATTTTCGTAAAATGTTGTTAAGCTAAGGTGTGTATCGCACTCATAAAAACTGAGAAAAAAAATCTGGTTTAAACTTATACATATATATTGTACCCTGAGCGTATCCGTTGGCTAGGGCTTCCATCACTTGAATATAGAAGACTTAGATCGGACATGGTAGAAATCTATAAGCTGATAAACACCATATATATAAACCAACCATCATCACTGCCTTCGACAACCTCAATACGAGGGGAAACTCAAAGAAAATGAAAAAAATCGGTATAAGACCAACATTAGGGGACATGCTTTTACAAATAGAATTGTAAATATTTGGAATCAACTCCCTACAATTGTGGTAGATTCCCCAACCTTAAATATTTTTAAATCTAGACTTAATAAACATTGGGTCAACCATCCAATCAAGTTTTTACCATCGTGCTACTAATATGTAATACAAGTTGTATATGCGTCCTCTGCACAACCCGTAAATATGTGAACAATTATGAAAAAGCGTCAACAGAAGCTATACTATGCTTACGAAGATGTCGACCACCATGAACCATATAACTTTCGCGTGGAACTCAAGACAAGGCATAACGTGGCCACATCCTTTGTTTCAAGTTACCATTGACACATAATTTCCTAAGAATTTTTAGACAGATTTGTCTTTGGGTTTTAGAAAAGATGCCAAATCCTTAACTTCTTTTTCAGGTTTAAATGGAGATGCTGAAATCCAGCCTATGGCTAAAGATCACGATGTTGTAATGCAAAGGAACGAATAGTGACAACGACAATTTTATGGTGAAAAAAATGTGACACGCCTGGACCAAAAAACAACCCTTATATTTTTCGGTGCCTCTCAGCTCTCTAAATGTATTCTCGACTTCAGTCTCAAGAAGAAGAATCAAATCGTCGTCTATTAAAAATATTCATTCTTACCTGAGATTGCTGTTGAGTTTTAATGTGTATGTAGAACCCTAAACAATAAGATTTGGTTTGGTTTGATTGTGTTTTACGTCCAGCTATGGTCATTTAAGTACGTACCAGGTTTTATTGGTGGAGGAAAGCCGGAGTTCCCGGAGTAAAAATCGGACCACGTAGGTCTCGAACCCGCGACCCAGTGGTGGATGGCTAGTGGTAGCAGAATATCAGACGCCTTAACCACTTGGCCACACCGCTGCGCAACCAAACAAAGCAAGGAACTAATGAAAATGTTGACACGTGCTCTAAAAAAACCTCTGCATGTCTCTCTTATGACGGCGAAACAACAATACAAGTCGTAATCATACTATGTTGGCAATGTGGACTGTCATTTGAGCTTTATTACCGTATGCTAGACTGCTATTCTAAGGATTACTCCCCCCTCTCCCGTCTCTTTGTCTCTCTTCACTACCTCTCTGTCTATCTCTCTTAATTAAAGCCAATGTAAATATATATTATGCCACCTTGAAAATGTGTATTGACATATTGTAGGGAAAGGGCTTAATATGATTTGTTTAACTTGTGCCAAACTCCCATTGTGTATAAATTACAATAAAACATGTTTAAAACAAAACAATAAAACAAAAGGACCGTATGCGCGTTATATAGGTTGCAACTCAACAGCTGGTACAGTCATCAAATTCGTCGTTCATTAACTGCCATCAGATGTATACCACTGGTGTCGTCCTAGAAAGGAGATTCCGTTCGTTTAGTGGAGCAGGCAGACTCTAAAGTCCAACTAAATAGCTTCACAGCCTTCGATTCTCTTAGATTCGGAGATGGATCAAGCCGGATGTGCCCGATTTTTGTAGGCGGGTCATATTTTCCCCACCATAAAAACTTTCCTCAACGTAACTCTGTCACTTGCATTACCTCTCTAAGGCCGATACAATCATAATCATGATTTCAGCAGCCCCATTTATTTTCAAATTTAAAAAAAAATGAAAGTCATAACCTTTTAAATAATCCCATAAAAGTATGTGCCAATGCTAACTAGGAACAAATGCTGTGATCACATAAACCCAGTCGTGATAAAATGGCAGATGTAAAGAACTG